AGATAAATAATCGTACCAAATTCAAGAATTTCACCTTTTTCCCGTGATGTCTGCAAATAACTCAAATGCCTCGTCAACTCTGCCAGAAATCGACAGGCTCTCAATCAGAGAAGAGTACACTTTCTTGTCAGTGGATGAAGATAGTGGCAATGATGAGAACTCTTTAAGCAACTGTAGCGCCGTGTCCAATCTTCCAGCCTTCTGAAAGCTATCAATCAGCACTTTGTAAACTGGAACAAGGGGTCCTGAATCAAATTTCCCCATTTCATCTACTAACTCGAGACTTGCAATGAATTCCTTGCTGAAGCCTTCCACAACCTTTTGATAGTTTATTAGGTGAGTCGGCCAATGTGTTTGTTTCATCTCCTCCAGAAGCTGATGAGCATCATTTAAGCGCCCAGCACCACAACAGTGATTTATTAAAACTCTATATGTGATATAATTAGGGGCACATCCCTTGTTTTTCATATCCTGGAAAAGTTCGAGGCTTTTATCCACTGTACCAGCTTTTCCAAAGCCATCTGCCATGGCAGTATAGGTGACAACATTAGGTTTACAACCTTTTTCCTCCATCATCAACATCAGTTTGTATGCTTCATCTGTCTTCCCGACTTTGCAAAGACCATCAACCATCTCTGTATAGGTCACAACATTAGGCGGGCAAGAATATTCTAACATTTTAGCCAATACTTTCATAGCAAGATCTAGGCGTTTGTCTTTAAACAATCTGTCAATCAAAGAGCTGTAAGTAAAAACACTTGGAATGCGCCCGCATTCCGACATCCTAGCAAATACTTCCAGAGCTTCATCGAGTTTCCCGACCTTGCAAAACCCATCAATGAGAGCATCATAAACAATATGATTCGGCTCACAGCCTTCAGCTGTCATTGTATCCAAAAGCTTCCGAGCCTCTTTCACCCTATGTACTTTGCATAGGCCATCCACCAATGCTCCATGTGTATAAACATTTGGCTCTGTGTCACTATTTTCAGAAATTTTAAAGTACATATCTACATCGTGGATATTCGAACTTCCCCTAATTTTTTCATAAATTGCACAAGCCCTCTCTATATCTCCAGCTTTGCAAAAGCCATCAATAAGAGCAGAAAAGGTGACAATATTTGGGGCGCAATTTTCAGACAACATCATCTCAAAGACCTGATTTGCATCAGTTATTTTCCTTGCTTTAAGGTAAGCATGTATTATTGCAGTATACGTGACCACAGTTGGAGGACATCCATCCTTCATCATTTCCTCCAACCAACGATAAGCCTGCTGAATCAGGCCAGCTTTACAGAACCTATCGATCATAATCGTATAAGTGTAGACATTAGGGACAGTGCCATTCTTTTTCATTTCCTGGAAAAGTTTAAGGGCCTTGTCTAATTTTGAAGCATCACAGAGAAAGCCAATGACTTGGTTGTACGTACCAGCTTCCGGAACGAATCCATTGGCCATCATTTCACGAATAACATTATACGCTTTCTCATACTTCCCAACAGCACAAAGACAACGGGAAAAATTGCTAACATTAACTCGGTTCAGTGATATTCCCGCATCAAGCATCTCGGTATAAGCTTTTTCAGCCAATTCAAGCACATCCATACTCGGTAAACCCTCATTACCACAAATACTTCCGATGAGTATATTATAGACACCATAACCAGGCTTGCAACCACAGTCAGCCATTTTCTTCAGCAACTTATAAGCATATGAGAATTCTCCAGATTTGCAGTAGGCATGGACAAGGGAAGAGAAAATCCTCGGACTAGGATAACAACCTTCTGCAATCATCATGACAAGAATTCTTTTACACCTACCCAGCTTTCCCTTATTCAGACATCCACAAAGCAAGATCCTATATGTCACAACATTAGGAAGGCACGAATTAGCCCGCATCCTAATCAAGATTTCCATAGCCTCTTCAAAAAGAGAACCCTCGCACAAACCCTTTATCATTTGGGTGTACATCCAAGTATCAGGCTGAACTTCTTCCTTCTCAATCATATTCAAGGCATCTCCCAATTTACCCTCTTTGCATAAAAATTGCAAAAGACAGCCCAAAGTATGTGTATCCATCTTATAACCCAAGTGTAACATCTCCCTATGGAGCAGGAGAGCGGAATCCAACTTACCCGCCTCCAAGAACACCCGTATAAGCGCAATGTATGTTACCCTTGAGGGCTTATACCCAAAATCCTTGAGCCTTCCCAACTGCTCCAGTGCCAAATTCCACATCCCACTCTGGCAACAATTTCTGATCAGCACATTGAGCAATTTCCCCAGAACCTCTCTATCATCATCCTTGATCTCGAGCAAAAAATCATCTGAAATTCGGGCGTCGTCCTTATCTAGTGCGAGCAATTCCAGTAAAGCATCGTAAACGGCCAAACTATGAGAATATCCTATTTGCCTCCCAGCCCACAAGAAAAACTTGACACCCAAATCAGGAATTTTCACATTTCTCAACACATCAACCACCAAACTCTCATCAAGCCTGCCCCTGAACTGCCTGAGGAATTTCTGGGACTTCTCTCCCAGCCCGTCATTATAACTCTTGAGGGCAATTACTATAGAAGAAGCGTCGTTCGAACACTTACCGGGTTCAGAGTCGGCGGCCTTGGCAGAAGAAATGGACTCCTTGAGAAAAGCGAAGTCTTGGGCTGAAAGGGGCCGAGGAGTAGACGTGTTGGGTGCGGCGGTGGAGTCGCTGATTTCTTGGGGGATTATCAGACCTTCGAGACTGTTGTCGGTGCTGAATAATCTGCTGTGGGATAATTTGAGCGAGTATAACAATGGTGTTTGAGAAAATACAGCAGATTTGAGCACCCTTTTGTTCATTCTACCACGCTGTGCAGTAGAATCGGCGGCACCGCGGCAGCTTAGACCGAACCTCTGTCAATCAGAAATGCTCAGGCAATCGGCAAAAATTGCTCTTTGCTATAAGACCATCTTTGCAACAGTGTGAATCAAAATTCAAATTTATGTTATTATTATTATTATTATTATTATTATTATTATTATTATTATTATTATTAAAACTTATATGAATATCGATAATTTACATATTATTTTTGAACTATTGTATTGAACCTACTGGATTTCATTTTGTAAATTAATTATTGATTTAATTATATTGTTTTGTATTTATGTGGCAACATGTAACAAAAAATTTAAAACCAAGTAAATATTTTACCTCACAAACTTATTATTACATAATAAATTTTTATATGCCTATTGTCATTATTTTACATAATAAATTTTTATATGCCTATTGTCATTATTTGTTCAATATGATTAATACTAGTATTCATCCTGTGCACATGCACAAAGAAAAATAAAAATTTATATATTATATTTATGAATACAATATATAAAACTTTTATATTAAATAATTTATGTATTACATTTTAAATTTGGACTACATGCAAATGTGTAATGTAAATATAACTTATTTAACTTACGTATGAATTTTTATATTGATGCCATAAATTTTAATAGCTAATATAATTTAGTAATTTAGAGGGACCATACATTTAATTAGTTTGAAAAGTATTACAATTATTTTTATCATTGTTAGAGCATTTGTTTATGTGATTTAAGGTGTTTAATTATGACACTCATGCCAATTAACTTATTAGATAAAAGTCGCTTAAAAAGAACAAAAATATTTTATTTTAGAAAAAGTATTTTAAAGAAAAAAATTTCAATACAATTTTTTTATAAGTATGTAACTTCCACATACTATTTAATGTAAAGTTGTAATCAATTAGTGTCAGTAGTGAATAAATTATATTAAATTAATATTACAGTTTATTAATGTAAAATGTAACAGTTCTACATTAATTGAAAAAATGAGCGGGAAAATGAATGAAGGTTTTATTAAATGTTTTATTAAATTTTATATGCCAACAATTATATATATATATAGATTTATTTATGAAATGTGCATATTAAATATTTAATGTATATGATAATTAATATAATGCTACTGGTAGCATATATAATTAATTACAGTAAAAAATTACAAAAAAAATTTGTTTAAAATATTAAATCGCATTTCATAATTTAATGATTTTTTATTTTTAAAAATCTCGCCTATATAATGGATGAAGTAGTTCTTGTCCAATAAAAAGGGTGATCATAATTATTTAACTTCAACACCTTACTACAGTTTTTTTTTTTTTTTTTTCGAAACGAAAGAGGGATTATATAACTACTCCAACGAAACAACAAACCCAAATACAAACGGGGCCAACAGCCGAAAAAGAAAACTGGGAGGACACGCTATAAAGCGGTCTAGATAACCCTCAGACGGGCGTCCAGCTAGCCAAACTAGAATAAAAACACAAAAAAACACAAACGACACAAAACACCAGAGACGCTCCCCACGGGAGAAAACACACAAAACACGAGAAATGCTCCCCACGGGAGAATTGGTACGGCCCCCAAGGGGTAATCAGAAACAGAGGCCAAACGGCCCAGACCAAAAACACACGAACAAAACAGAAGACCTAACACAAAATACACAAAATACACAAACTAAACAAACACAGACTCAAATAAACTGACACAAACTAAAAAGAGCGACCCTTCCTCAGCAGAACAGACGGCCCAAATCAGCAGAGAACGGCCAAAAACGAGCAAAGATCCCAGTTCAGGAGACGACTTCCGAAACTGCTATAAAGCCTATACGAGAAGACGAACCCGAACACAAATCAGTCCCTGAAACGACCCACCTCAACCGCAGGGACACCGAAACCACACCCACACTAGCACCGCTCGAACACAACTAACACCACTAGCCGAGCATCGGGGCGCCAGAAACCCGCCGTCTAACACCACTAGCCGGAACAGGGCTTACTAAATTTTTGTTGAATTGTTAAAAAAATCACACTGAAACACCACCTTTATAAATTTTGGATTTTTTTTCCAGTACTTTTTGTACATTAACAATTGTAAATTGTTAATGTATCTAAAAATAACTCATAAAAGTCACGATAATACTATCTAATTACTTATTTTTGTAAGATTAATACATATTATTTTTGAATAATCTTTTCTACATAATCGTGTGAAAATTTGTTAACTTTTTCATACCTTCGTACAGTATAGAAAGGATCTAATTTATATAGATTTTTTAACTCATTTTGTTAGATAAAGTTTTGGAAAATTAGGACTATACAATCGTGTGAAATTTAGTTAACTTTTTGGAAAAATTACAACCAATTGGTTGTTTAAATTTATCCAACTACAATACCTTTTTAAAATTTGAATTATTTTCATTATATTTGTTACATTAACAATCGTAAATGGTTAATCGATTCAAAATAAATCAAATGCAATATGTTAAGTTAATATTTGCTATCATAAAATTCAATATTCTAATTAAAAAAACTCTACCACAAAATTCAATCCTCTAATTAAAATGTATGAACGTGTTTGTTTGCATCTTACGTGTTAAGAGTACGTAGTATTTAACCGAGACCTAATTCATTCACGACGACCAATATAAAATGAACTTTCCCTCTCTGGGATTTGTTCCATGCACACAGTGCACTATTGCAAGTAATGAGTCAAGACAAATTGTACGGTTGACACTACAACCGTTCTGATGGCTTGTTCATTTCCATCTAGGAAGTGAACCAATCATTCTTGTAAAACATGAATGTTTGGTTCACAACATAGATAGAAATGAACAACCCATCGTGAACAGTTGTATGTTAACCGTACAGTTTGTCTTGAGTGATTAGTTAAACTAGTGTACTATGTGCATTGAACGGATCCCAGAGAGTGAAAGTTTGTTTCATACTGATTGTTGTAAACGAACTAGGCCTCGGTTAATTACTGCGTACTTTTAACCCGTAAGATATAAACAAACATGTACATTCACTAGTTGCTACTTTGATTCACCAAAAGCGAGATCCATTCTATTGGGTCAGTAGTCTTCATGTTCTGGGTAGTAATACATTGTGTATGGTGTGTGGTTCGAATACTTACGGTCACCGTGTGCGATAGTTTAATGATGTCCCCGAGATGAGCTCATGAATGATTATTATGTTAAATCAGGCCAGTGGAATTTATTCTGACATAATAATAAAGATTTGAGTGTTACTAGTCTCAGTTCAAGATGTCGAGTAATTTAATTGTCGGTGATTAAGTTTATTGATAGACATTATAGCTTAAGCACGAGGAGATAAATCAAGTAATTATTATTAAAGTCTCGAATATAATTTGGGATGATGAGGGAGTGCAATATTGTTTTGTTAGTAAACTGAAACATTACTTAAGTTATTGAGCGGAGTGGGTTTGGCCCACAGTTAGGCCCATGATTTAAGAAGTTCACATCATCACCTCCTTAGGATCCCTGTTGTAGCCTATAAAAACATCATATCTCTTGGGATTAAGAGAAGGGGACCTCATTCACGTGAAAATGTGTGATAGTCGACTCCCCCTCTTCCCATTGTTAGGGTATACTGTAAAAGCTCGACCTTCAGTTTCTGACAATACCATTTTGAATGAGAATTATGTTTTTTAGTCAAGTATGTGTGTTTGCAGTTTATTTATTCATTCAAGAACAAGTTCTTTTATTAGATAATATGGTTCGATATGTCGAACAAAAAGATCACATTATCAGTTACTTGTTGAATATAAATGATGCACAGTCTAGACATAATTGAACTATCTGTTGTGAAAGGTTGTAGTGTAATTTTGATTCAATTGATATTTGACTGATGAATAACGCTAGTACATCTTATGGAGTACTGAATGTACCAACTTAGAATAAAATTATTATATAGTGACCAAGTAAATAATCGAGATCACAGTAATTTATGGGTTTTCTTAACCCGTAAAAGAATAAACTGGCATATGTATTCATAATTTATTTATGTGATTTACCAGGCCTATTTTAATTTGGATGATATAATCGGCATTTTGGTAAATAATATTGTTTACATGATGTGTCGTTCAAATTGTTTACGGTCACAATGTCCCGGTTCACTGTGTTGATGACGTCCCCGAAATGAGCTCAGGAAGGATTTATTATGTTAAGCCCTGCAGGTGGATTAATTTTCAACATAATAATTAACTACTGAGTGGTACTAATTTTAGATAAAAAAATTAATTAATTTTAATTATTAGTAATTAATTAATTAATTAACATTAAATCTTAAACATAGAAGGTAATTCGATCAATTTAATTAATTTGTGAGGGCTGATTTATTAATTAGTTTGAATCTAAATGAGGAGATCAATAATATTACTCTAGTGAAATATTTTATTATTTATTCAAATTAAGAATAGAAATTAAAATGTCTTCTAGAATATTAACATGTAGAAGGATATAATGTCTTCTAGAATGTTACCAAGCTGGAAGAAATATAACTCTTCTAGAAGGTAACAAAGTTGAAAGGCATTAGCACTTCTAGAATGTAAATAAGTTGGAAGACATAAGGATTCCTAACCATGTTTGGAAAAGCTCATATTTAGCACACCATTAAGGTCTTTGTTGTAAGCTATACATACACCAAGTCCCAACACCTCCTACCCACATGTGTCATCCACATTTTTCATCTTTCAAGAGAGAAAATTCGAGTAAAATTTATTGGAGATTTTGGGAGTTTCTTTAGTCGCACCACCAAGACTATTCGATGTAGGTATAGGGATAATACATCAGAAGATCATAAGGTCTAATAATTTCGAGTCCCCGAAAAATTAATTATCACTGGAAAATAGTACAGGTAATCATCAAATTACCAGAAACCGTCACGACCAGCAACTCACGGCCTGCCGCAGCAAATCCCCACGACCGCCCAGCGACGCCCGCGTGATGAAAATGG